TGCTGCCCGACAGCGACAGGAAGAAGCGCCCCAGATTGGGAGACTTCGACGACGACGCGCCTCAGCCGACCGTGGCACCGGAAGTGCTCTCCTCCACCAGCACCACCACGACGGCGGCCCCGCCGCACGAGAACGACCTCTCCTGGGAGCTGTTCGGGCCGCCTCGCCACGTCCCCGCGCAGACCACCAGCCCCCCTCCGGAGGCGACCACGGTGCACGAGGTGGAGAACGCGGTGGAAGGCCTGGGGCCGGCCACGCCCCCCGCGCCGGCCGTCGCCAGCGCCTCGGACGCACAGGTGGACGGCGCGCCCGTCACGGAGCAAGTGGACGCGCAAGCAGTGCACCCCGGGGAGGGGGAGGAGGGCGACGCCACACTGCCCCCGGAGAAGCACCCCTCGAGCACCCCGAGGACTCCCTCTTGGGAGGACACCAGTGAGGGCCACCAGTGGAACTCCTTTGGTGTCATCCCTCTGATGACAAACGAGACGTCCGAAGGCTCCAGCACAGAGGCGAATGCGATGGATTCTGTCAACGCAACAGATGGAGCTATGACGTCTGAAAATTCGTCTATGGTAGATGTACCGATGGAACATGCCCCATCGATGGGTTTGATGGGTGACGAGGAAAATTCTACACCTGTCATAATTGTTCGTAATGAAAATATAACAATATCAGATGTTCCGGAAAGTCGGGGATCAATTGCTGGTGTCGATATCTTTTCTGACGAAAATTTAACTCATAGTCCTATTTCCGAAGAGATGAGTACTTCTCCACCAGAGAGCAGTTCTTCAGCATCGCCTACTAGTGAAACAAATGATTCTGTTTTATTTCCTGTGGAAGAACATATGGGAAAAGAACACCTAACCGCAGTTATTACCGAAAGTAATGATACAATGAGTTCCACAGACATCCCCGCCTCAGTAAACACCAATATGCCCTTGTTCGAAACAGCTGAAAACACAACTGTTATGGATGGAATGATTGAAACTGCGACCAACATTCCTTCACTTATGGCTGAACTCTCTCCTCGAGATATGAATGCTGTAGTTGAGACTGAACACAACGCAACCGAAGTTCATAATGTTATTCCAATGGTGACAGAAGTGTATGATGAAAGAAACTTAACTGATATGATTCCACAAAACGTTTCGTTCGAACCAGCAATAGAAAAGATACCGAGTGAAGATTTTGAAGCAGTCAATGCGGTACACGATGACGTAAAGGGAACAACGATGAAACCTATGATCGTTGAAATGACAACGATTCCTTCTGAAAATTCGGAGGTTACTACTGTCATTTCTGAAGATAAATTAGTTCATGAAGTGCACCGCACTGAGTTTTCTACGTCTTCGTCCTCAGAAGGTTCGTCTCCTAACAATGACGTGAACTCTTTGTTTGCTGTCGTTAACCATCATGAAAATGCGACGGAAAATGCAGTCGACAGTTCAGCGTCCGAAAGTGTCAAATCTGTTATCGATTCTGCGACTGAAATTCAAAAGGACATGATGATGACAACTGAATTACCGATGACTCCCTCGCCTGAAGAAAAGGAACCCTCTTCGTCTTCGCCATCTAGTCCAGATATGAACTCCCTAGGATTTGCATTGGGGCCTGCTGATAACTCATCTTCGGAGAACACAGTTGCTCAGAACGAGGGTTCGCAGGGTATTTCGTTCGTTGCTCCAGATAATACTACTGTAGGCGAATATTTCCCTTCTCCGGAAACAGAGATTCCACCGGTCAGATCTACGGATGAAACTCCTTCTGAGACTATACCTCCAATGACAATGAAAGAAGTTATGAAAGAAGAAAGCGCTCCTTCTAATACATTATCTGGCGAAACTGTAGTTCCACTTCCTTCATCTTCTCATGAAGATGTAATGAATGCTACAGCCGACATTGCGGAAACATCTAACAATATGACGGAAAATTCCACCCTACTCCCTGTTGAAATGTCTTCAGTTGCACCCATGAACGCATCATCGTTCTCTGAAATGGAAAATGTATCTTTAGCAATTAGAGGAATGTCTTCTCCTGAATCGATTGTCGGAACATCACACAATGATAGTGTTGAATCGACATCTACTTACCCAGCGGAAAATTTAGAACCACACGACGTAACAAATACATCATTCGTAGAGGATTCATCAGATAACGTGCTGTTTGCCTCGAGTCAACCGGACATATCATCAGTCTCCCCGCCGTCATCGATTACCCCTCCTCCTGAGTATTCCAACCTCACGGAAGAATCTGAGACACCTGGATACGGAAACGAATATTCCGTAACTCCTTCTCCTCATACATTCGTGGAGATAACCAAAAACGAATCTGCATTTAACTCCATTGACGATGCTTTACCCGTGGCGTCATCAACAACCGAAGCTATGACAAGCTCCTCTCCGGACCACCTCCCAGAACCAGCGGTCGCTTCAGTAAACAATGCCGACGAAGCGGCTACAAACGCTTCGGCCACATCCGGCGAAGTTCTTTCAGCCAACATCGTCCCAGTGGAGGTGGTGGTTGAGAACGCGTCGTCAGCGCCGGCGCTCACCACGCAAGGGCCGACCTCCGAGGCAACCACCACGCCCAGCACCAGCACCACGGCCGATGACCCGCTGGCGCACGCGCACGAGAACCACGTGGAGGTGGACGAGCGCCTGGGAGTGCCGCTGATCCGCGCCAGCACGGAGGAAGCGGATGTGGTGCGCGTCACCACGTCCCCCGTGCGCGTGGTGTCGGACGCGCAGCCGGCCGTGACCGCTGCCCTCGATCCGGACGCCGCCGCCGCCGCCACCACGCAGGTACGCACGCACAACCGTTTGTTTGCGTTGCCTCTGACGACTATGAGAATCTACGATTCGACTCCCGATGGTGGCGGATTTTCGGTAATGACACCGGGAAAGATTGCTCATGGCGTCAACTGATGTCACTTCAGTCCCTCTAACCGGGAGGATCTAGGTTCGAGTCCCCTAACCAACGGACAATACCGTAACCAACAGGTCACGGACTGGGCGCCATCTTTCCTACCTTCTTCCTTGTCCTAACTTCACCCGTTACACACTTACCACTAACATGCACTACACTAACACACATGCCGGGAGAGCGTCGGAAGCTTAGAACTTGTGCAGGCTGATGCGGTGCCCCGCTAGTGGGAGATACCTGGTTGGGAAAACTACCATAAACTCGCCATACAGCGGTTGAAGACCACCACCATCTCCCGATCAAAAATTGCACTATACGTACGGGAATAATGACTTTAGTTGTAGACGCCCCGGATCATTAACAATCAATCGATACTAGCTTGTTAGCTGTGTCAAATTCAGCCACTGTCTGGAGGAGAATTCTAGCGGAATTCTCCTCTGATCGGTAGTTTTCCGTAGTTTCTCCGATCAACACCTGGCGAATGCCGAAGCAGTAACGCGCATCACGCGGAGTGTATCCTTTACCTTCATTATTCCATTTCCTCTTCTTACACACACATATAAATTAACCTAGCAAACATATCGGTAACTTAGATACTGTTCTGCTGAGACTTTAAGGTGGAGACTCTACAAGCCGAGTGTAGGTCGATGTCGAATCTCACGTTTCAGGGCGGGGGAGGTACACCTCTACCTGCCGGGATGTAACATGCACTACACTTACGGGTCGTGTCTAAAGTAGTTGAGGTACCCGGGAACGCTAAATGCACACTCACTTAATTTGTGTTCCTGTACTGTCAATTTTTGATAGTCCCTTTAAAAGGAAGTAGTGTAGGAAAAATAATATTTTAAACATTATAAGAATGTGGCTTATTCCATTCATCATATCACGTGATGACATTACACCACATTTTTTGAAAATATTATCTGCTGGTTCTCCTACTTCTTAGATGGTTTGCCCATCCTTAGATGTATTTTCCTTCGATGAATATGTTCGATTAAGTTCAATTAAATCGTATTATTTTGCATGCCAAAATTATTTTTCGACAATGGATTTAAAATTTTATTTGTGCAGGATGCAATCATTTTTTTAATCACTGTGGTTCAAAATACATCTTCACTTTAGTTTATGTTCGTAGAATCATTGTATCAATTAACGAACAGAATGCAGTCTGCTGATTCAGAATTCCTATTTATATATTATACATAGTTAGACATATTACATTATACATACATATACATATTTATACATTATACATATACATTCTCTTGGACCAATACCTTAATATTCCCGTTTAGGTTCAGAGTGAGTTTTTAAACTATTGCGCCATAATTTGACCATCACGGACGAAGTTTAAAAATGGGATTTAAAAAAACAACAAAATATTGATATTTTTTTAAATTTCTCTACTCTACAATTTACAAGTTTTAAAAAGCATGAGCTAAACATAATATGCCATTTAAGTGTAATTTAGAATACTATATTTGGCAGCAATTGGCGTTAGATGTTTCGCAGTTCGCTCACGGAGTTATTGCCGTTCACTAAGCCATGATCACCAGAGTGAATCGGAGCGTTCTCCTGTTGCGCAACTCGTTTCGCCTCGAAAAGTGAAGGTGCACGGGTCGCGATGCCAGATCAGCAAAATTTTCGACCTTACATCACTGCTTCTGTCAACCAAATTAGCCCACAAAATTGACTAAGTAACTAAAACGAATCATCTAAAATTTAAAACTTTGGCCCCAGTGCGAAGCGAAGGTCTAGAAGGCTCAAGAGAAACACGTTCTTTATTTTTTACCAATTCCCAACGTAAATAAGGGATTTCCAATAAAGTTTTTATTAATCTGTGTCTGTCAAGGTGGTCTTGCCAGTCTATCAAAGTCTGTTAGACGTCTAGTTTTGTATCGAGTGTACCACCTTTAATGATAAAATGCATGTGTGACTGACACTTGGAAGAGGTCCAAGCATTCAAAGACAACCTCCCTACAGCATCTTATCCTCTTTCTCTTTGTGCTATTAGTCGTAAGGATTGTCGAAGCGATCCTGTTGAATTATTATTTTTGGGACACTTAAAAAATCGTTAACGTGCATCATTTATGATGTTAAAACCATAAAAACCGAGCAAATGCTCAAACATTTACGTATACAGATTTGTGAAGGTTGAGGTGCATTACCAGTTTAAAAATTGTAAACAACATTTTGCTCAAACCCCGTCTTCAATCAAGGTAGATGTTACAGATGATACAAGTTAAATGTGATGAGAATCTTAGGGAAATATTCCCTCATACATTCTGCCAAGGTTGACGACAACGCAAGGCCCTGACGTATATTCTAATTGAAGTTGTATCGATAAAAAAATCTTAATAAAAGCGTGTGATACTTCATGACAAAATGTGAAATACGTAACAATCGTCTCTGTGATGGACATAGGGGTGGGCAGGAAAGTCCAGATCCATTAAAGATTAATATTGTTTGAAAAGTTGTCCATGGCTTGAAAGGGGCACTAAAAATACTAGTCAATGTAATCGAAAGACGACTAGGGCGGTGCCCCGCTGTTAGGAGGTAGCGGGTTGGGGGAAACCCCGCTAGTCGACATGTAGGTTGGCTCCAGATCTCGCCATCCAGCGGAGGGGAAGATCACCGCCACCCTCCCAAGGACAAAATCACTACGCTTACGGGAATAAGGACTACAGCTATTGACGCGCCTGGAAACACGAAATGAGCAATCAATTAATAATCGACAGACCGCGTAGTATTGCAGCTCATACTGGCAGTGAGTAAATGAGTGATTAGTGATTTCAGGCGCGTCAACTGGTAAGGTCATTAGTCTGGTAATTGTAGTGCATGTTTCCCCCGGGAGGTGGCGATGACCTCCCCTGCAGGATGGCGACCTACCGTCGGCTAGTGGGACTTTCCCCATCCAGGCATCTCCCACTAGCTCCAGGGCCACACCCCAGCAGGAACAAACTTTATTTCCCGACCGATTTCCCAGCAAGTATGGTAGTGCGTGTATGTCGTCATGACAGGATCGTCGCCGGTATGAATGTGTTTCATGCCATCGACTTATCCCACATTCTCATCTCATCCGCCTCCTCCGCAGGTGCCAGTGAACGCGCTGCCCGCGGACGACCACCGCCCAGCAGCCGAAGACCACCGCGGCGGCCGCGGCTCCGACTGCTGCGGACGCCTTCGGGTGACAACGCCTGGAAGAGGGCCGGGCGGGGGCCGGCGGGGCGGTTAGCGGCGGCGCCCGCGGCCACAGGCGCCGCCTCGGCTCAGCAGACGCCCGAAGAGCGCTGGCGGGAGAAGAAGGCGTGGGCCGGGCAAGAAGGACAAGGGGCGTGGGCGGAGGAGGCCCGGGCAGCAACCGTGGGGCTGACCACGCGGCGCCGGCGCCGCCGACGGCCCGCTGCCCGCCAAGCGAAAGAAGGTGAGCGCAAGCCCGTGAGGTTGAAGCAGGGTTGGCCGATTTGGGGCTCGCGGTGCCGTTTATTGTGGTCCCCCGAAAGGTTATTACGCGAAAGTGAAACTCTGTTGCGTCTTTGTCGCTAGCCATTGCACGCCTAGCGCTGTCAACACCCCCCCTTAATGTAGAAACACGTTTGGTTGAGATTTTTTGAAGTAAATTGAAAAATTCTAAATCATCCTACTGTCACTCACTGCGTCATGCATGGTACAGCCTGATATCAAGCGTGGTTCCACCCCCATCCCGCCGTTTCAGAGCAGTCGGACAATGTGTCACGATCAACAGAAGAGGAAGGCAGGTGTGGATCGCGCGAGTAATAAAAATATGGCCCTCAACCATATTAAAGTTTTAATCGTGGCCCTCGAAGCCTTACAAGTATTTCATCTCTCTGTGTATGTAAACGACGCTTCAAATTTAACTTAAAGACCGAGTGACCAGCCGAGATGTCTCAAGTTCTGCTGCAGCGTCATTGATCGACACTTCCTTAGGGTTTGGCGCCTTCCGGCGGCGACCTTCCGACGCTGACTGCAAAGCTGGGTCGAATTCTTTCGCGTTTTCTGGAAAACTGTCGCCACCAACTGTTCTGATTGATAGTTGACATGATTGAAGTCAAACAACGATTCACTCAAAACATAGAACTTAACTAAAGAGAGAAAAACTGAAATAAAACATAATTTTTTAAATGCATGGGATTATTTTTGTCAATAATAGTTACTTTATGGAATTCAAAATGTGGATTCAGAAATAGTCCGAGATATTACAGACGTCAATGTTAAGAAGGTGTTTTTTTAACTATTAAAATAAGTAGTGATGATAAAAGCTTTCGGAGTGCAGTAAAAATACACCCATTCCGTAGTAGTGTTAGTGTGTGAATGTTGTTTACTCACGACCTTTGAATCAAACGCTTTTGGGGGGTGCAATTGAAGTAATAATCGTTATAACCATTTCATCGAATGCATAGTTTAGGAGATGACGAGAGTATTCCCCATCCAGGTGGACGCCGAAGGCAAGAAGGTAGCAGTGGCGGTGCCGCTGTCGAAATTGGAAGATCGCGTGGATATGGGAGAGGAGACGCAGTCCCCGGCGGTTCCCGCCACCACGATGGCTGCAGTCACCACCACTCCACCTGCGGCGCCAGTCACCACCATGACCCCCGCTACCACCTCTACCACCACTACAACAACCACCACCACCACCACCACCACTCCTGCGCCCGCTACCACCACGCCGGAGAGTGCGAGCCCGTCCACGCCGCTGCAGACGCCTCCTCCGCCCGGTGAGTAAATTTTCGACAGCCAGATAAAAACATATTTTTATGCTTTTTTTGTTATTTAACGTCTAAGCAAAATCTGAGCTATTAGTAACCACTATTGCACTTACCGGTATGGTAACTAAAGATGACTGATTTGGTGGTGATAAGGGGGAAAAGGACCAACTCAAATACCATGCCAGAGTGGGACTCGAATTCGCAATCCTTCGTTCCGAGTTTGCTATGGCACTACTGCCTTAACGGTCCGGACCGTTTTTATGCTTTGTAGCTGCGCTCACCAACCTTTTTACCTTCTTCGACCACCTGTCTCATTCGTTCGAACGTGCGAGCGCTATATAACTACTACATCTCCACTGTTTTTCATTTATTCCTAATAAACAATAATAGTAGTAATAATATGGAAGACTTAAAACGTACGAATATATTCTAAAAAAATAACCTACTACCTGTAGTCTTGCGTAATAAATGTGAGTTCTGTTGAAAAAATTGTGTCATCTAGCTAGAACAGGGCGCCCTAAATGCGTCATTAGATGTAAATCGTTCAGGTAGTATTTAGTTTTTATTATATCCAGTTTGGGTTTCTGAAAGAAAATTAGGTGATACAAACTGACATGTTTCTAACATTTAACATTCACAAAGCGTAAAAATAAGAATGATAACCATCTAACTTCATCGTGTACCTTAATGTACCGAAGTAATTCAGATTATATAACGCATCTAGAATTGATATTCAATTAATTAAAAAAAAAGATCCTTGCATATGAACTACCACTGAAAACTAACTATAATACGAGTAGTTTTTATCTCTTTTTGTAATAATGTCAAAGAAAACTCAATTTTCTTCCTTTTGACATTACTCTTTCTTAGCTTTCAAAAGCTTAATGAGTTCGCGTTCGCGAGTGTTCCTCCAGAAACTCAGCATTGATAACATTCGTTGATGACATACGACTTCGCAAAGAGATGTAAAAGTGAAATATGAATACACTTTCAAATCAAAACTACGTACCCTTGGACATTTCTTTCTCATCTCTACCTCCGGAAACCAGTTGAACTATTTGAATAATAGGATTTCAAAGTTATATCTTCGTGAAGAACTAACGTCAAGATTTTTGTATCAAATTCTTTAGTATTCTACATTTGAAAGATTTCTTACGACCAATTTCAAAATTCTAAAACGTTAAAGGAAACAAATGGATATATTCACACTAGCTCAAGTTTTGAAAACTCGCTTAATCTGTTACCGAGTTCATAGTTAAGTGTTTTACGATGTTAAGCCAAAGGAAGAGCATCATATGCCCCAACATTTTCGGTTTCGAAAAAAAGATTCAAATTTGGAAAATGTGAAAGGGATTTTATTTTTAAACGTCCATCTCATAGCTTTACTTTCATCTGAAAGTCTTGCAATTCGACCGTGCTTTGTTTTCAAAATATGCAATGTGTCCATTGCAATATTTAATTTTGTTAATTTAATTTTGAGGTGATATCTAGCAGTAAATCAAGAGCTAGTGCCCAAGTTCCTCTCACCAAGCTCCTGATGACATTGACCTGGGGATGATTTAGAAATTTCTAATCTCGTCCCGAAGACAAAATCCAGTATTTTCCCTCCAAAGCGCCAGAGAAATACGCCATAGGCGCCATGGCACCCACGGAAGCCGTTTTGAGCAGGGAGGCTTTTTATACTTATAAGGCGTGAACTCTTAAAAATGTGTTACAATTTACTTGCATCTTCGTGTATAGGAAGCATTTTAAATTCTGCCATAAAGCTAACTGGGGGATTATTTTTTACAAAATGTATTACTACTACTACTATTATTATTATTATTATTACTTGCGATTTAAGAATTCGTTTATTATTTATTTTGTGACGTTATTGACAAAAATCACTGTTTGGAAATAATTTTAAATATTCACGTTCAAAAATTTATTTTATGGATTGTTTAAGTTTGTCCCAAGATATTTTTTGTAGAGTGGTACTATTACGTTTAATGTTGGCTGGCTTTACTAAGCATTTCACGCAGAACACAAATGTTCCGAGGAGCAATAAAAACTATTGATATTTGTGAAAGAAGTGAGAATTGCAACTTGCAAACTAGCCGAAGTGACCCTCTTGAACCCATTTCTGACGTTCTTGTAACCCGAGTTATGGAGAATATTGTCATTATTTGTGATATATTGTGTAACCATTGTATTCCATAAAGCAAGAAAAGTTTAACGCGCATTTACATCATCCGCGAGTATTGAACTGCACTGCTGAGCAGAAATGCGGTTCTCATTGTCTCGAAGCTAAGCGCGTTTTGACGTTTCCATGAAACATCGTCGACCGTAGAAGGATAAGCGTCTCTTTCCTACATGGTGTTGCCATGGAGTAGCGCCGTTTCCACCCATCGTGTTTGGCCTTGCTGTGCGAACGATGAATCAGGACTTCCTTCGATCTACTTGATGTCAGAATGACATTGAGTCATTAAAAGCACGTTTTCTTTAAAAGAGAACGTGGTTTCTTAGTTGCGCGCTCTATCAAATGCTACAATCTATTGCCTGTTGATTGCGGAGGTTTATTGCGACTTGTAACCGATACGGAACAAAAAATACCCCATTATTACTCATCAGTAACGTAAGACGTATGTCCGCTCTTTCTTGCTTCAGTAGTTGAAGTTCTGAAGAACTAGATGACAAAAATAGCTAACCAACGTTATCTAAATATATTATGTGTGTGTGTGTGTGTGTGGGGGGGGTAAATATGTACAACACAGTTTGCAGGCTAGCTCCCAAACCAAAGTTTTTCAGTGTTTGGAGAATCGCATGAGTATGAGATTTCTAAATTCAGGACGCAAATAGGCTTTTGATTATTTAGGAAAACGCCTACTTTCACTGCCAATATTGGCGGTAAGTAAATTCTTTCGTCATCAAGTCTTCTGAAATTGGGGTCAGCATTTGAGATTTCAGCCAAAATTTACCAATGGGCGTTGGCAGTTGTAAAGCTGCCAACAGACTTTCTTTGCATGTGATTTTAGAGATACGTGTTTTACTCATTATGCTGAAGTACTCGCAAATCATTTGAAACATAGTATCGACTAACTTCGGTGCTGGTTTTCTAACATCTAAAGAATGATATACATTTTATCGATTATCTTTCAACTAAATCTTATTTACCATCATCAAGTTAGTAGAGTTCATTCGAAATAAGAATTATTTCAATTATTGAAATAAAATAATGTTGGTTTGAAATACAATCTTTATCGCTGAGGTAAAGTTAAACATAGTCTCAAGAGTTGGGATAGGAAATAGCTTACCCCACGAATTTCGTAAGGTAACCTATCACACTCAGTTGACCAAATCAAATTCAATGTATTTTGAATTTGTTGTGTGTGCTGTAATTACTATTTCAGTTTTCCTGAACTTTTAGGAAGATATGTTTCTCTTCGTCTTTTATGTCGGGGTTTAAATCCACATCTGGATATCGTTTCTCATCAATGTCCTGATTACAAATCATGATCACGCAGTTTAGAAACTTGGCAATAGAGATTTTGTATTATTTTATTCTGCATTATTCTTGTTCATTTTTAATCAGTCACTTCTTAATTCCCCTATGTTATCTATTTTTTGCAAAATATAATCCTTATATGAGCTAACATTAATCCCCACAATAAAAGTCTCAGTGCCACGACTTCGCCAATAGCATCATGAATGTCATCGGAAGTTATCTGGATGTCATCTGTCACGCCGTGGGTGTTTAACGACTCGTCAACTGGCAGTCGACCGTTGAATGTCCGCGATAGCGCGCACGTCTCAACCACTGCCCACCCACACCCGCACGTTGCTACTGCCGCTCTCTGCGCTCCCCCGCTCGACGCTGCCACCACTACTGCCACCGCTATTGCCATCGCTACCGCTCCTGCCTCCGCCACAGATACTGTCACAGATAATGCCTCCGCTATTTCCGTAGCTTCTGTCACCGTTACTGCCATATATAATGCCTCCGCTACTGCCATAGCTGATGTCACAGATAATGCCTCCGATAGTGACATAGCAACCGTCATCGCTTCTGCCACAGCTAATGCCTCCGTTACTGCCATAGCTACAGTCCCAACCTTTGCGAGTGCTACTGCCACAGCTAATGCCACCACTAATGGAACTGCTCCTGCCATAGCTACTGCCACCGCTACTGCTACAGCCAACGCCACTCCTAATGGAACCTTTTCTGCCATCGTTGCTGCAACAGCCTCTGCCCCCGCTTCCGCTGCTGCGGCTGCCACGTCACCGTCGCCATCGCCATCGCCATCGCCGCCCAGGGCTGCGGAGGCGACGGTGTCGCGCTCGTGTCGCTGCGGCGCATTCCTGGATTTTCACTTTTTATTGGCACGTGACACACGCAGCGCCTGAGTGAGCTTGCTCGCGCTCGCCTTGCACAACCGAGTCGCCCCCGCCCACGCCTCCGCCCACGCCCACGCCCGCGCCCGCTCGCCCTCCTGAACGCATTCGCTGGGCCACCCGCTCGCAACGCCCAATCGCCGCGCAGAACGTCGGCCGGCGTCGTTAAGTGCGGTGGGCCAGTGCTAAAAAAGTCCGCGGTGATGGATGACGCGCTGGATAACCTCGGGCGGCGTTCTCGGTAATTGACGAGAGGTGGACTGCAGCATTTCTTTTGTGGCTGATGCCGCCCTTGAGGACTGATTGCCTTCACTTTTAGAAATGTGAATTTAACTGCCAATACTGGAAATCTATTTATAGCGATTCTTTTTAAAATTGATTGCCAAAATCAACAGTCGTTGTAAATGACGTACAAGTGGGAGAAATCTCTCCTGGCAAGTGCTGGTTATTGTGAGTTTTAAAAATTGAGACTGCGAGGTAGAAAATTATTTTTAGCTTGGACTGAAGAATTAAACGTATAGCTCATTAGGTGAAAACAATAGTTTAAGTTCCAGGATGCACGTGTAACTGAAAAAAGACAGTACATTCTGATTCGCCTGATGCAACTGATGGACAGAGAGTTTTACTTATTTCCCTAT